CTCTTCTTCTTAAGAAATTTCAAGATGCCACTATTGGTCATTGTGATATAACTTAGGATTTATTTTTGGCCTATTTCCTTTTTTGTCTGCTTGTCCTGATCTGCATTCCCCTCTCAGGCCTTTTTTCTAGTTATAAACAGTTCAGGCCCGTGGCCATTTGATTTTAATTGGAAACTGTCTCTTTAGATTTCGAGGAGATCTATGTGCATGCATAGTAGAACCCTCCGAGGGTGGGGCTGGGGTGTCCACTAGCTCAGGCACCCCTATAGTCGCCAGAATGGAGGTACGCAGACAGCAAGGAACCAATGAACAGCTACCAAAAGAAAAGAATGGCCACCTTTTATCTCCGCAGTTCTGTTAGGCATCTGTGACTGCTCAGATCCTTCCCCCTCTCCGTCGCACCCAAGATGGCGGCTCCTGGAGCAGCTGAGTTTCTTGAATTACAAAGCAATGGATTTCTTGCTTCTGCTACAAATTCTCCTAACTGTAAGCCTTCCAACCTTCTAAATTTTCCTTTATATGTGGTTCAGAGTTCTGGGACCATCCCCTGAACCTGCTTGGTCCTGTATTCTGTGTTGTTGCTGACGGAGTTCCTTACTGCATGTCCACCTGATCCGCCATCTTGTTTGTTCTCCTCTGCTACCCTTTTTTATAAGTGACTCTGACTTTTACAAAAGTAAATTGCTCTTTTGGAAAGAGATTTTATTCTTGCCAGTTTTAACGTTACTTTTGAAATTTTTTATAATGAAATATATTCTTAGAAACTTAGACCAATTACAATTGAGTTGATTTTGACTCGTGATTTTCAAAGTAGAATTCTGTTCCATAGGGTTTTCAGTGGCTGGTATTTCAGTAGTTGTCAAGCCTTTTTTCTTAGGTTCCTTTGGGTGGATTCCACCCTTCAGCTTTTCTGTTAACAGCCTATAGAGAGTAAGATATCGAACACTTGTTTATTCACTAGGCGTCTTTAAGAAATAATTACATTTTGCCATGTTTTCTCAGATTTTTTTTTTTTTTAATAGAGAACCCGTTAAGCATTCTCATTTTTCTTTTCATTTTCCCAGCAGTAATTACTGTTCCTATTTGGTGTTTATTGTATTCAATAATGCTTTTATGGGAGCACGGTGGCTCCAAGCAATAGGTGCTGGACCACAATGTCCATTGTTTGAGGCCACCAGCAGCTCTGCGGGAGAAAGATGAGGCTTTCTGCTCCCAGGAAGATTTAATGCCTCAGAAACCTTATGTAGGGTAGTTATGAGTCAGAACCATTAACCGACTCTACACCACTTAACAACAAGAGCAATGCTTTTATACTTTAGTTCTTAGGTTTGTATACACATATTACTTATATTGTTGTTTGTTAT